CTGCTCCCATGTGCAACAGCAGACCCAGGCTGGTTGGAGGTGGGTGCAGTGTGCTCACCACTCCCAGGGGCACAGGACACCTTCCCACAGGAGCAGGCCACAGGTTTCTGTGGCATCCAGATGGAGGATCCTGTGAAGGGTTTTATCTGAACTGACTCACCCACCCTGGGATCTGACAGGTGATGATCCAGCATTTCCCTGGGGACCTCTCCCCAGCATCCCTGTATAATGGCTGAGCATCCCTGTGTAATGACTGGACTGATGGGGTTTAATTCGTGCCTGTATGTGATCAGGCAGTGGCAGGGAGTGGTGGGCAGCACGGTGGGGAGCAGGGGGGCTGCCTGGGGTGCACGGGCTTGGAGCAGCCCCACAACTGATGCCCTGTGTGTCTCCCCAGGTGTTCCAGCGGCGGGAAGATGGCTCTGTGAACTTCTTCCGTGGCTGGGAAGCCTACCGGGATGGCTTTGGGAAGCTGACAGGAGAGCACTGGTTAGGTGTGTGGGGCTGGCAGTGCTCACTCCTGGGTGGGCTGGCAAAGCCTGGGATCCCCTGAGGAGGTCCAGGGTTTCCTTTGCAAAGGAGGGCACACCAAGACACCCTCGGCCAGCGCCCATGTCCTGGGAGTGATGGGCTGGGCAGGCAGGGAGGGTGTCAGGGGGCTGCACAGGGCAGGGAGGCAATGGGGCTGTTTGACCCCGAGCTGAGCATGTGCCCTTGGCCATGCAGCCAGAGTGAGGGATGGAGGGTGGGAACCGCTCCCTGTTCCACCCCGGGCCCCCTCCCCAGGGCCCACTGGCCACCCCATCCCCAGCGGGGTCCCTGCACTCACCCCATCCCTCTGCTGCAGGGCTGAAGCGGATCCACATGCTGACGGTCCAGGGCACCTACGAGCTCCGCATCGACCTGGAGGACTTTGACAACGGCACTGCCTTCGCCCACTATGGCAGCTTCGGGGTGGGGCTCTTCTCTGTGGACCCCGAGGAGGACGGGTACCCCATCACCGTCACCGACTACTCGGGGACGGCAGGTGAGGCAGCGGAGTGGGGACACACACATGTGGGGGCAAGGGGACCCCACAGCCACCAAACCCCCTCGCTGGGGTGTTCCAGTCTCCTCTGGCAGTGGCACTGGCTGTATCCCTGCGGCTGCAGGGAGCTGGAGGCAGTTAACGGGCTTTTGCAGGAGGAGACCCGTTGCAGGAATCCCACTGTGATGCCCAGGAGAGTCCCATGGGGCAGGGAGCTGGCCCAAGAGCAGGAAGGGCTCATCACATCTCCTTTTCCCCGGGACAGGTGACTCCCTCCTGAAGCACAATGGGATGAAGTTCACCACCAAGGACCTGGACAACGACCACTCGGAGAACAACTGCGCCGCTTTCTACCACGGTGCCTGGTGGTACCGCAACTGCCACACCTCCAACCTCAACGGGCAGTACCTCAAGGGCCACCACAGCTCCTACGCCGATGGCATCGAGTGGTCCTCCTGGACCGGCTGGCAGTACTCCCTCAAATTCACCGAGATGAAGATCCGGCCCATCCGGGAAGAGAATTAGCTGGATGGCAGGAGCCCCCCACACTGTGCCCAGCCCCCTGCCCTTCCCCACCACCCTGCAGCCCCGTCCCCCCCCAGCTGCCATCCTCCCCATCCTCCCCGAGGGCTGGCCCATCTTTGAGGGGCCTCTGGGGAGCACCTGCCCCCAGTGAGGGTGACTTTATCTCCTGGGCATCCACAGACATTGCTGGACCTTTGCTTCCCACTGCCATGGCTCCGCTGCAGCCAGAATGGCTCTGTCCTGTCCTGTGGCTGGTGCTTATGCCCCAGAGAGGGCAGTGGGATGCAGGGATTTGGGGAGCAGTGCCCAGCAGGGTCCAGCAAGGAAGAGAAGGGGCTGCCTGGAGGTAGGGAGTAGCCCAGGTAGGCTGAGCACCTCTGATCACCTCTGCTCCGGGCACAGACTCCAGGCAGTGGCCTCACCAAGTGACTGGGGGCACTTGCCACAGGGAGCCCCAAGACCCCCAGAATCCCCCAGACTGGGACAAGGCTGCTCCACAGTTCCAGCTCCCCCCATGGTGCTACTAGTGATGGGGAGGGCTCAGCTGGGTCAGCCTGACCGTGCCAGTGATTCTTTCTCTGGACTACAGAACATTCGCCTCTGCCCCTGGAAGAGCAACACAGCTGGGAAGGGACGACTACCAGCTCCTTAGTCCCTGTTGTCCCTGTCCTGCCTCCTGGAGCCTCCCCATGGGTCAGAACACCCCAAAGCAAGCTGATGCAGTGCTGCAAGGACGTCCACCCAGAACTGAGCATGGCATGGAGCTGTTTTGGCAGCACTGGAGAAATGGGAAGTGCGGCAAGGAGGAGGAGGAGGCGAGGAAGGTTCACTTCCCAGCATGGCTCTGCCTGCATTTCACAGCTCCTCCCTCCCAACCAGACTCACTCAGATTCATGTCGGCCATCCAACAGCTGTGACCTTTCCCCAAACCCTTGGCTTTGGGCAGCACAGACACATCCCCCACGTGAGCCCCCTCTGCTCACTGCCGGCCCGGGGACCCGCGTTCACTTTCCCCCCGGCTGAGCCGTGCGCTGGCTCGGCACCTGCAGATATCCAAAGCCTTTCATTTCCTCAAATCCCGTTAAGGTTTTGCAAAAAGAAGCCCCGAGTGGGGCTTAGCATCTGCAGGGCCCTGATAACTGGGCAGCAGCGGTGCCATGCACCAGCAAACCCAAGCAGGAGCTGCTGTGGGGTGCGGGACTGATGTCTCCTGCTGGCTCCCTGGAAGGACTCAAATGGGGGATTTTGTCCAGAAGAAAACTAGAACCAAATGTGAGAAGGCTCTGAAGCAGGAAGGGAAGGAGACAGCAGGAACCCAGTCACCCTGTCCATCATTTTCTACCTGTGCTACAGCAGCGGTGGGGACCAGAGCCCTGGTCCCCCGAGACACTGCCGGACAGACGGATGGACCGAGGAGGGGAGGAAAACTCCCAGTGTCCCCATTTCCAGGGGGGCTTAAGGCATGGGGAGATCAAAGGCTCAGCTTCCCAGCTGTGCCAGGTTTTACTGCCCTCTGTGATTCTTCTTTTTTTAAGCCTTCCCACCTCGGATCCTGTGCTGGACAAGCCCGTTCACCTGCTGGGTGAGTCCCTGTCTGTCTGTTTTGCGAGGAAAACAAGGACAAACAATGTATTGGGATTGCTTTTCCCTGTTCCAGAGACATTCCTCAGAGCCCTCAGGTGAGGGTGAGCTCTGAGTGCAGGCACCAGCTCTACCTACTCCAACCCTGCCCAGAGCAGCTGGTCAGGCTTTCTGGAACGATGGAATTTGGGGAGCTCAGCAGTGGCATTTCCCAGCTCAAGAGCAGGAGCCCTGACAGCTTCCCAGGGGCTTCCTGTGCCCCACTGGACCTCTCCAGAAAGGGTCCCGCCTGCACCCATCTTTACTTCTCGTTCATTTATTTTGTGGAGTAGCTGTAGCTGTGTTTTCTAGCACTTGCCTTTGGGCCAGGAAGGCACATGGGGCCATGTGCCGGGTGGGAAGGCCCTCCCCTCCCCAGACCCCTCCGCTGGTGTTTTGCCACGCCGGGGAGGGGACACTGTACGTCGGTTTGTCGGTAGCACATCCTTGAGTAACTGCCTGTGTCATCCGGGACCCCCCAATGACTTTGTTTTGACTTGCACGAGAGGTATTTAATCCATGCCAAGACGCAGGATTGCCCAGGATTATTCCCAAGAGCGCACACATTGCTCCATGGCCCTGGATTAGGTTAAACCCGTCCGCGGTGACACCTCCCCGGAGAGGGGAGGGCAGGGGCGACTGGGGGTCCGGGATGTGGCCACGTACCTTCCCAGCAAAGCCCTGAGCCAGGTCGTGGTGTGTAGCAGTGCCGTGAAGTCTCTCTAGGTCGTGTGTGAGTGTGTCCAACGCTGTACATGTGGACTTTCTAAACTCCTTAATAAAAGGATCTCATCGTTAGCCAGCGTCCCGGCGGCCGTTGCCCGCGGCGCAGCGCGGGGACGGCGCCGGAGGGACCTGCCGTGGTGATGGCAAAGGGAGTGACGCTGGATCGCTGCAGCCCCTGCTGTGCTGTGGGGACAGCTCCTTCCCTGTGCCGGGCTCGTGGCATGGAATCCCCGGGAACTCGATCACTGAGCCAAAACCACTCTGCAAAACAAGGGCTGGGGAGAACCGGGGGGCAGTGGAGGCTTCCCAGAGCTCCAGCCCAAACTGAGGCACCGTGGGACCTCAGGGTGGCCCTGGGGCTGGGAGGGTGGCAGGTCTCAGAGCCAAGGGAACCCTCTCCCTGCTCTGACAGGCAGAGCACCAAGCGATGCCCTCAGCCCCTTCCCTCTGAGCTGCTCCCCCCACGTCCCATTCTGTCACAGGCCAGGACAGACCCGGAGGGGACAGCAGGGTCTCAGGCACTGGGGACCACGTTTCAGCACTGGTGGCTGCATGCATTGACCAGTGAGGGTGGGAGTACTTGGGCTTATCCATGTGGGGCCAGTCCCTGGGGGAATTTGGGGGTACAGGAGTCTCCCTTGGTGCCTGCGTACCCCCCACACTTACACTTATGTCTGGGACCCCCAAGAGCTGCACACAAAGACACACCAGCCAAAGGGGGGGGACACACTTGTGCCCCCAGACAAGACCCTCCCTCTCAGCAGCATCCCCAGCTGCCAGGGGCTCAAGGCCAGCTCCCAGCCACCGCTCCAAACAAGGCAGCAAATGAAGGCGGCGCGTTAATGAGCGGTGTTGCCGTACTCACATTGTGGCAGCTCCACCAACCCCTGTCCCCCCCATCCCCCTCTCCAGCCCTCTCCCCGAGATTCCCACCCTCTGCTCTCTTTGGCCACACGTTCAAGAGGTGACACAGCAATTAGACCTGGCGGGTATTTAATGGCCCAAGGCGGGCTGGCTGCTCATCTGGGCACAGGGCAGCACGGAGCAGGGCCAGGGCCAGCAGCACTGGGCAGCACCAGGGCAGAGAGGTGAGTGGCTGGTATATGTCTGTCTGACTGTCTGTCTGCCCCCACATACCTGCTTCACACCCGCAGCCAGTGAGGAGGCAAAGGAGCCAGTGGGAGCCAGTGGGAGGCAGGTGGGGACCCACCAGCACCCCCAGACCCTGGGAAGGGACTCAGCACCTCTTCTCCAGCTGCACCCAGTGATTTGGCTCCACGATGGGCAACTGGGTGGAAAAAGAGAGAGAGCAAAATGACAGCAAGGTGTGAAAGAGGCAGGGAGCACCCATAAGTGAAGCCCCTGGGCTGAGGGGTGCTGGGGAGGACATGCAGGGGCTTTGGTGCAGCTGGGTCTGGTGTAGGAGTCAGGAGCACCCACCTGCAGCAGCCTCCACCCTGCAAGCAAGGGGCAGAAACCCTGGCCCCCAGAAGCTGCAGTGACTTTTACGGCAACATCTCCAACGAATAATAAATATAATAATAATTAATAATAATAATACCACCATTTCCCCTTCCTGAGCCTTTGTGGGAGGCACCATTGCACATGACCCAGGACTGCACTCACTCCCACTCTGCTCAGACCTCACTGCCAGGGCACCTTCAACCCCCATAAAGCAGAGGGATGTTGAGCACCTTCCTCTGCACCTGAGTCATCCAGGCACTGCGGGCAGGACTTACTCGTGGGGACAATCAGGGTGATGCATAATAAATATAATAATAATTATTAATAATAATACCACCATTTCCCCTTCCTGAGCCTTTGTGAGAGGCACCACTGCACATGACCCAGGACTGCACTCACCCCCACTCTGCTCAGATCCCACTGCCAGGGCACCTTCAACCCCCATAAAGCAGAGGGATGTCGAGCACCTTCCTCTGCAGCTGTGTCATCCAGGCACTGCGGGCAGGACTTACTCGTGGGGACAATCAGGGTGATGCACAAAGTCCTCCCGAGGTGCCTCCAAGAGGAGCGGGCAGCTCTGGAGCCCCCCGCCCCATCTGAGCCCGGCTGGCTCCCGGCTGCGAACCAGGGGAGTCGCTGCAAGGTTGGGATTTGTCAGCACGGAGCTGCTGCTGCTGGAGGGCAGCGGGTCTGAAGGAAGCGTGGGGAGAGCTCAGACACCCCCAGCACCCGCACTGGGTGCTGGCGTGGAGGCTGCAGAAGGAGCAGTGGGTGCTTAGTGTGGGGTGGAGTTCTAGCAGGGCCAGCAGGGCTGGTTTGGGGGTGCTGCAGCAGGGGTGAGGAACTGAGGGCAGAGGGCATCCCGTGCTGCCGCCTCAGCCGCCGCCCGAGGATGCTCGGCGGTTTACTGACCTGCCTTTCCCTCCCTGTGCTTCCCCCAGATGAGAGCACCCTACTCGCTGTCCTGCCTCTTCCTCCTGAGCCTGGGGACCTGCTTCCCTCCCAGCGAGCGGCGGGAGCCGGGACACCCCGGGGAGGGGACCCTGCTCGGTCCCAGGTGGCAACCCAGCGGCGAGGTGACCGGGCGCCGCTGGAGGGCAGGGCCAGCGGAGGCGAAGCGAGGAGCTGGACGACGCTGCTGGGCATCGCCCGGGAGCTGCGGCTAACGGGCTCGCCCGGGGGCGGGCAGCGGACCGGGCTAAGGCTGGGGGGCTTCCGAGCGTGCTGCCCGCCGCGGTGGGGGAGAAGCGCAGCGGCCACCCTGGGCAACCTGGCCGAGGAGCTCAGCGGCTACAACAGGAGAAAAGGGGGCTTCACCTTCCGCTTCGGGAGATGAGGGCTTGGATTTGATACCCCCCACCCTCCTGCGGGTCACCCCGTCCCGTCCTTCCCTTCCATTTCGCCTGGGTTTGCTCGGACAAAAGGGTAGTGGGGGTTTTTTTGCTACTGGGATTGCCTTGGGGATGGGGGACACCGCGTTTGCTCCGCTCACAGCCCTGCTCTAGGTCTCATGTCCCTGTTCCCAACCAGTGCAACAGAAGAAGAGGAGGGTGCCTTAAAAAGAAGCCCCTACATCCCTTTCCTGATCACAGACAGTTTTGCAGGGGCACAAGGAAAGGGCCGAGCACTGGGTCTCCAGTGCTGCAGTGCTGGCAGAGAGCAGGGGTGGCACATTGGGACAGGTAGAGCAGGGGTGGCACACTGGGGCAGGCAGAGCAAGGGTGGCACACTGGGACAGGCAGTGCCAGTAAGGCCAGGCAGCAAGGCTGGAGGGTTAGAGTGGGATAATCTTGGTGGTGACAGTCCCCAGGGACTGCCTGTAGCTGCCATCCAGGACCGGCTGTTAGGGAGGAGAGGGTCCTTCAGAGCTCTCTGCCGAGTTGCTGCTCTCCTGCCTATTAAGGAAAAGTCCCTCCGGCAGCAAATTCTGCTTAGTGTCAAGCTGCTGCTCACACGAGGCAGCTCCTGCGTGCAAAAACCAGGGCAGAGCAGCGGGGCTTGAGAAAATCTTGTCCTTAGCAATCCCGGGCATGAGCATGGAAACCTGCCCTGGCATCACTAGTCCTGCCACAGCCCCAACACCCCTTTCACTCCCTGGCCCCCAGAGTCAGTCCTCACCAGGGTGAGGTGGTGATGATCGACCTTTTGTATCCTTGTCACACCACCCCAGCACCTGTCTGGAAGCCTGGCCCTTCCCAAATCCTTCCTGGCCTCATCCCCACCTATTCCCAGCTGTAGAATTTGGGTGCAGAAGGGCTGAAACAAGGACTTCTGCACCTACCCAGGGCCACTGAGGACTTCTCAGTGTCTCCCTGCTCTCCAGTCCCCAGTGGTGCAGCTTTGGGAATCACCAGCCCCAAAAGCCAGCACAGCCACAGCGGTGCAAGACAAACCCCACTGCCCAGACACTGCCTTCCCCTCCTCTGGGCAGACTGAGCTCTGCCAACGTCGGCACTTGCTCTGTGCCTGCCAGAGGTACCAGCAATCAGAGCTCTAACTACCTGCTGCAGGCACTAACAGCAACTTACACACTGAGAGACTGCTGATATTTCATTGCAGGCACAAAAATGAGCCGGGAGATGATTTGCAAGCGCTAAATTGCACCCTCAAAAATCAGAGACCGTGGCAGGACTTGGTTGGGGGAGTAAAAAGATTAAAAAAAAACCCTAAATCAGGTTGCAAGAGGTGCATTGTAATATCCATCAAGCAGACAGACCACTTAATGCAGTGCTGCGTGAGTTGCTCTGGCAGCAGGAGCAGTAACTAAAGGCTGGATGGAGGAGCTGGAACCCCTGGGAAAACATCAGCCATGGGGTTCAAGGAGGAGTGATGGAGGCACTGGACCAGGCTCATCTAGGGAGGGTGCAGAACAGGAGAGACTCCGGGTTTGCAGGGGCACAGAGGAGATGGCAGGGTTTGGTCCTCACATGGGGACACCACCAGCTGCGAAGGCGAGGAAGGGCATTTCCCTCCCCTGCATCCCTGCTGCCAGGACCACCTCACACTGCAGGGACCACAGCAGAGACCAACAGCACTCAGGATGGCTGAGCCCACACAGCCCCCCACCCCAGGCACCCCCAAATCCACCTCCATCCCTCTCGATTCCGCCCCACCACAGGCCCTGGTTTGGATGGGGACGCAGGCGCCGCGCTCGCATCCCTCAGTGGAGACGGGAGCTTTATTGATGTTTCTATGGCAACTACTCTTTTTTTTCCCCCCCTTTCTTTTGAGTGTTCAAACCATCAATAAATACGCACTGATCAATTTTACCCTGCACTGGAGTCGGGGGAGGGATGGGGAGGGAGGAAGGGGAAAGAGTTTTGGAGCAACTCTGGGTTAGTGAGGGCTGGTAAATCCCTGGCTTTGCTGTGATGGATCATTGCAGGGAAAAGTGGCATTGGCTGCTGTGGAAAGGGAAAGGAAAACTGCTGGGCAATGCTGTGGCCACAGAGATGCCTGAGCTACTGCTCTCAAGAGCAGGAGAGGAACAGGCTCAGAGCAGCACGATAAAAGCACACGTATAACGAGGCTGATTGATGTCCAATAACCTCTGTAGAACTCACTGAAAAGTGAAGCACTTACCTGGCAGGTGGGACAGAGCTTGGCTCAGCCCCTGCACCCCAGGGCTCCTTGATGGCCAGCTTGGTGCCACAGGGGTGATGCCATGCCCCTCCTCACCCTCTGGCAGAAAAGGGGCTCCCATCAGGCTGAGATATGGGGCAGGTGAGGGGCTGTGGCACCCCTGGAGCTCGCCTTGGCACACACCTTAGGGTGGCTGGTGTGCTTGGGAAGAGGCAGCATTCCAGGCTCTTCATTATTGCTCCTTGGTGATTAACACTGAGGGGAGAGGGGAGGTAAAAGTGAATGGAAAATAACTGCCTGGAGTCTGGGGGTGTGTCTGGGAGGAAGGAGGGGGGAACGTGCAAAGAACGATCCCCAGGAGGCTGGAAAGCCTGTCCCTGCACACTGGATGTGGTGTCTCCCATCCAGCTCTTCCCAAATCCTCCCCTCCCTGGTCCCTTTGTGGAGCAGCTCCTGAGGGGACACCGAGACCCCCAACACCTTTGTGAGCTGGAGTCCTTGGAACCCACCTGCACAACAAACTGTAAGGAGCTGGATCCACTGTGGAACGGCCACACCGGTGGCAGAGAGGAGTGTGGACAAGGCAGGACACTCCTGGAGCTCTGGCACCACTGTCTGCTGTGCCAGCCAACCCACACAGGGATGGCACCAAACTGGCATTGGATTGTTCTACACATGGCCAGTGGGCCCAGGCAGCAAGGGCTGATGCAGACAACTGCTGCCAACATCACCACTGCTGGGACCCCCTATAAAACACCCCCTTATCCTCCCCTGCCCAGGTACAACCCTTGTCCCTGTCCCAGCCCCATCTCTGCCCATCAGCTCCATTCCCACAGGCTGCTCCTCACCTTTCCTCCACCCCGAGCAGCACTACAACACACACAACAGGAACAGCAAATTTCAGAAGCCCAGGGGATCCTCTGCAGAGAAAGAGCCCAATTTAATCACATCCAAGGGACTCATGAAGAGGCTCGTGTACCATAACTGGGTCATGCAGTGCTGCGGCTCCTGAGCACTGGTGGGACCTTTATCAGCAGAATGGATGGCAGGACAAGCACAGAACCCTCAACACGGGGGCAGTTGCTGGGAAAATGTTCAGCATGGACTGGCTTGCAGGTCAACTTTCTGCTGAGCTGGACCTACCGTTCAACACCCACCGGGCAGCACTGCCAGGGAGGACAGCTCTGAGCCCAGCCCCTACATGGGAATGACTCGCAGGGCTGTCCCTCATCCACAGCTTTAGGGGCACCAGCACTGCCCAGGCATCAGGACTGACCATGGATTGATTCAGGAGCATCATTCCCAGCAGCCCAGCCAGGCCAGGGCTCAGCCTTGCACCAGAGTGTGTCCTGCTCTGCTGCCAGCCAGCTCTTAGATGCACAGGTGATGTCAGGATCCCTCTCCTCAGAGGTGACACTGTGTTTAGGTGTGTTTTCCTCTCTTTTCAATTGTGGAAGGATGAATGTCAACCAAGGGAGAGGCTGTGGGTTGTCCCTGACCATCCTGGGGGACAGGCAGCACTCCCCCAACACCTGAAAGCACTGCTGGCCCAGCAGCACCTCCACAAGCCAGGCTGCCACACCAGCCTGTCTGTAATAATGTGGGATTTTTAAGAGAAAAGAGCCTAAAACACTGACCACATTTTATATCTCATGACAAGCAACTTCTCAACAAAAGGCAAGATGACAAGTTTTCCTTTAAAACGTAAAAGAGCGAACATTGTAATTTCAAAGACACGAAAACCAAAACAAAACCACAAACACAGCTATTTTTCCCCCAGAGCACTCTCACTTTCAAGCTCAATAGCCTTGAAAATTGGAGCAATCAAACTGTTAAATGCATCGATCTGTTAAATCAACTCCTACTGTATTCAGCTAAATTTAGCCTTTAATCCCCTCTCTTTCACTCCCAACACCACAGATCCCCGGGCTTTCCCCAGCCAGGTAACCCAGCCTCTGCCTTCCCACGACACCATGGACTGGTCCCTAAGCCAGGGGAGATGAAGATCACCAGGAGTGGTGGTATTTAGGGGCAGGTTAAGGTTCTTCATCTTCCCTCAGCCCACAGCTATTCACCACATGCAAGTCTTTGAAGAGCAGCCTGGACACTGACCTTGCCAGGATCTTGGTCACACTCCCACCTGGAACCCTCCAGATTTGCTGGAAAGGCTGAAGATAAAAATGGGCAACCAAAAATGAAGGAGGGAACCGTATAAGGAGAGAAACTCATGGGTCATTTCATAGCAGAGGAGGAGGGAATCACAAGAGCAGCTGAATTACAGATTACAAACCATTAACAGGAAGAGAAGTCTAGTCAAATCTCTGATTTAAATCTTTGAAGACAACAGTGAAGTCTTTGATTCAAAAGAGGTGATGACACAGTCTTTATTCTGTGCATCTCTTTTCTCTCCTGACTTCCCAGAGCCAGATCAAAAGAACATGGAAAGGGGCTGCTGCCTGGCTCCACAAATCCCTCTGTGCCAAAGGGCCACAGTGAACCCCCCAAACAGGGAACCCCTGTTTTCAGATGCTGAATCTAAGGGGAGGTAACTGGGTTGGAAAAGCTTTGCTAACAGACAAACACAGGTTTTCCTCAACATTGATTTATTTTTAAATACACTACACAAGAGAGACTGGAATAAAAAATAAATCAAAAAAAAAAAAAAAAAAAGAGAAGAAAAGTAGAGAAAGAGAGGAGGAAGAATTGAAAGTCGTGTACAGAAACAATCTGTACTGGACTACATTAAAGGGGAAA